ATATGATCATTTGCTGCTCAAGAAATATTTATTAACAGTGTTGAAATCAATTGTGCTGCTTTCAGTTTTTTTTACAGGATTCTTTGATGAATATAAAGTTTAAAAGAACAGCATTAAATCTTCTATAACATTATAAATATATTAACTGTCACTTTTGGTCAATGTAATGCATCCTTGCTGAACATAAGGATTATTGACTTCAAAATATTTAGTAATTATACATATTTATATAACTCTAAATCTATAAATGATTTTTTTTTTTTTGATGAATCTAATACCTTACGGTTGGTCATGTGATTGTGCGGGGGTGTTTGTACAGTGATAGCAGACTCACTTTGGCAGGTGTCTACTTTGTGATTAAAGGTACAATATGTAAGAATTTTGTAATAAAATATCCAAAAATCTCTTGTACAGTGTGATTAGACATGCGATTATTTCCATGCGATTATTTCAACTGTTCAACTGTTGACAGAGCTTCAACTGTTCAAAGGGCTTCAAACGATTACAGACGATGAATAAGGGTCTTATCTAGCGAAACGATCACTCACTAAAAAAAAGAAAAGAAAAAGTTTAAGTTTTATAAGCTCAAATAGTCGCCTTGCTCTGTTCTGTGATGCGCATCCGTGACTCTCCAGTTCGAACTCGTTCATCAAAATGAACAAATCTTTTCCCGAGTCAACTCGTTCATTTCGTTCGTTGAATGAACCAAATGACACGAATAAAGATTTGTTCATTTTGATGAACGAGTTCGAACAGGAGATTCACGAACGCGCATCACAGAACAGAGCAAGGCGACCATTTGAGCTTGTAAAACTTAATTTTATTTATTTATTTATTTATTTTAAATGAGCGAACATTTCGCTTGATGAGACCCTTATTCATCGTCTGGAATCGTTTGAAGCCCTTTGAACAGTTAAACTGTCTTTTGGACCTTGAAACGTTTGGTTCCCATTGAAGTCCTTTATATGGAGAAAAATCCTGGAATGTTTTCATCAAAAACTTTAATTTCTTTTCGACTAAAGAAAGAATGACATGGACATCTTGGATGACATGGGGGTGAGTAAATTATCAGCTAAAGTTTTTTTAAAAGTGAACTACTCCTTTAAAACTCTGAGGACCAAGGTGTTTTTGGGGTCCTTGAGATGTTCTGACATGTCCTGACATTTGTACTTTTTTTCAGTTGCTTATAAACATATTAATGGCACAGGTGGAATTACACTATATTTAACAGAAACAGGGCGACCATAATATGTGAGCAACATGTATGTACATGTTTGTATTTTTGAGAGTATATTGTTTATGCGTGGTTATTGTAAAAACTAACAATGAAAGTTTCTGAAATAAGGCCACAAAACACATAAGAAATATGCGTCCACAAGACTTTTGAGTAATGGATGTTGTTGCCTATAGGGTTTTTTCTTCACAATGATCTGAAAATCATCCTCCTAATCTTTCACATAAAACTGCGTACTCTTGTTTTTGAACTGTGGATGATTGAGAGGCGAGTAGGCGAACTTCCCAGGACACAAATGGACCAATTGGTGTTTACACTACGAATGCCAAATATAGTGTGTTCACTTGTGTTTCTAACTGGCAAATCCAATCCAAACACATTTTGGACCCTGGATTTTTACACCAGGATTTTAGCGCTGACCACTTTTCATAGTGCCTCTTCAAGTGTGTAGGATTTTGTTGCAAGTTTACATGTATGAAAATGACATATTCATCATCAGACTACTTCAAATTTCAGACAGGCTGAATTTGTCTCTGGCCAGCAGTTGAACGAGCAGCGTGTTCCTAGTCTGACGTCAGCCTGAAAGCACTGGGGTTTTGTTTCAGCAGCAGTTAAAACACACACAAAGAGTCATGTCATGAATGATTCAGGAGTGTTCTAGGCCATGTCGAGCTTCAATCCACGCTAGTTAGCAGGGAAGTTATACGTAAGCAAGGAAAGTCTGGACCCTCAGGCATGTGTGCATCAACTCACACTCACTCCGGCTCAATCTGCAGTGTGTTAAGCAAACTAGAGGAGCTGACACGGGTCAAATGCTGTCAGAACAACTGACCATAAATGAGAGATTTGCCTGCATAGTTTGAATTGCAGATATGAGCTTTCCTGCCGGTGTGTGTAGCCCGTAGTCACCACAGGCAAATACCTGCACGCACCTGAGCGTAGCGCACAGCAACAAATCCCCGGAGCTGATCCAGCCCACCCAACGGGAATTTATCCAAGTTAAAATTAAAGTGTTTTTTTTTCTAGCTATTTACCTTTCATTGAATGAGTAATATATTTGTGAATGTAAAATGTCTGCAAATTTTGAAAAACTTTGACTTAGTGTCTCCTTAAAGGGATACTCCACCGTTTTTTCATATTAAACTATGGCCTCATTTACACTGCATGGTTCAAGTGACTCAAATCCGATTTTTTCCTGTCATGTGGCACAGATCGGATATGACCAGTGAACGTGTAAGCGGGAAAAAAACGCATGGATTCTGATTTTCTCAGATCGGATTCAGGCCTCATTCATATGTGGTAATAAATCGGATATGAATCGGACACGTGCAGTTGCGTGTGCCATGTAAAGCAGACAAATCGGATATTCCCCAGTCGTAATGCGAGTCGTACGTCATAAAAAAGTGCGCGATTATAGGTGCGATGGAAGAAAGGATACACACAGTGGAGCAATACGGAGGTTTCATGTCTTTTGAGTGTTTGGGGTGAAGAGTGCAGGCAAAAATGCAGGGTTGTTACAGAAATAAATCCGTTTTTGAAGACATTTCACGAGATATGAAACAACGATTTAAGTGCTCATGGCCAAAACCTCTACTCTTTTTTTTTCTCCGCTGTACGAGACCAATTGTTTTGATGACTTATTGAAATGTTGTGGAATGATAATTTTATTTGCATCTGCATCCATTGAATTTCGTGCTGTTTTGCTTAATTTCCCGGGTCAGAACGTCTGCATTTGGTAGTTTCAGCAGTGTAGTGTAAATGCAAAAATAGGATATGGGTCACTTTTAAAAGATGATGTAAGCAGGTCGTCAAAAAAAATCGGATATAGTCAGAAAATCGGATTTGGGCATCAAGACCTGCAGTGTAAATGCAGCCAAAGTTATTCCCTAAGACGAGTTGATACACACCTCTAACTATATTGTATGGCGGAAAACCTTCGAGTCTGCGCAGTACACTCTAAAAAATGCTGGGTTGTTTTAACCCAACTATGGGTCAAATATGGACTAACCCAGCCGTTGGGTTAAATTTTTACATTACATTTTTAACCCAACATTTCGGGTTTGTCCATATTTGAGCCAAAATTGGGTTAAAACAACCCAGCATTTTTTAGGATTTAATATCATGGTTTTCCGCCATACAATATAGTTATCTACTTTACACGCTTAGAAAAGCGTAACGTTTTATTTTGTGTCACCGTCCTAGGTCGAGTTACTCTACTTGTGTGACTGTATTTAAATAGGAAAAACGTGGAGGTGTTTGGTCGCTTCACTGCTTGGCCCATATTGAATGAACTGGGCTAGTTAAGTGCTATCAAAGTGTCGCACTGAGACCACAGAGGTATGTATCAACTCGTCTTAGATAAGGGAATAACATAGTTTAATATGAAAAAAAAAAAAAAAACGGTGGAGTATCCCTTTAAGAAAAGACTGATTCTGAACTGCCTGAAACGAGTCGACAGTAATTCCAGTCTTACTTCTGGCATGAACCTATATAGGTTTGTAACAGATTTGCATAATGCCAGCCTATGCTCTTCATCGGCTGTCCGTGAACAATGTCTATTTTGACCCTCAAACATTAGTTGTTGCTGAGACTGAAGTATTCGGTTGGGGTCGTCGACATATTAAGAGGACGCTGTTTTGCAAATCCACTTTGCATGCGCTGGAATTGATACGGAAAAAATCATGTGAAATGATACTGGTTTAATTACATTCAATGCAAATGGGTAATGTAAAGTGGTCTGTTTTATTTCAAATTAAAGGAGAGGGAACAATATTAATATATTGGCAAATAATGACTGAAGAACATGTGTTTTTTAGCGAATGAGTAAAGCACAGATAGTGAGGATGAATATTTATTACAAATATTCACTGGACATATTTAATCTAAATAGCTTGAAATTGAACTGAAATGGCGCTTACTCTAAAGTAGTTACAGTAAGTAGTTTCAGAAGCCGTAATCAAACATAAAGTCTTCGCAGCACTGCTAGTGTTCTTCATGTGTCAGCACTTGTTAAACTCCACATGAAACGGTTCATTTATTTCTGAGATGTTGTGCTGTGGATGGAGTGTGTGACTGACTGCACCCTCTTGTGGTGAAATCACACAGGTACATTATTCACACATGCATGATGCAACTGACCATTACTCAAACAACAACAACAACAAAAAAAGTCAACTTACATTTTAAAGACATTTCACAGCACATATTCCAAACTATTATTCATTTTATTTGAAAGTTTACCCATGAACATATATATATATATATATATATTTTTTTTTTTTTTTGCTGTTGTAAAGTATTTAAGATTGTAACATTTTGCATTATTATTCAGCAAGGACATATTGACTTCAAGAAAATCAAGAAATGTATTATGTTTTATGCTAAATGCTGTTCTTTCAAACTTTCTATTCCTCAAAGAATATTAAAATAAAACTATCATGGTTTCCACAAAAACATTAAGCAGCAAATCAGCATATTAGTATTGTTTTTTTGTGTTACCAAAGGATCATGTGACACTGAAGACTGGAGTAATGATGCTGAAAATTCATTTTTTTTTCAACACAGGAATAAATTACATTTTAAAATGTATTAAACAGGAAAACAATTATTTTAAATTGTTACAATATTTCTTAATTTGTATTGTATTTATTTGTCACATAAATGCAGCCTTGGTTAAACACAAGAGATATCTTTCAAATGCAAAATTTACACGTTTCATGTTGTCAGGACCGGTTGATTGACACCTATCAATATGACTCTTTCCCAGCAGTCAGCAGAGTAGCCAGCAGAGCAGCCAGCAGAGTAGCCATGACGACGACTCCAGCCGATTCCTGACTCCCTCCATCCGGGAGGACAGGTACGTGCACTTTAATAAATGAATTGATTTGTGCAGAGGCACTCAGCCAATCAGACCTCCCAAGAGCTCAGGGACCAACAGGAATCGTTACATAATTCTATCCAGCGATGCTCGTCTCAGCGGCTTTAACAAGCATCAAAGGCATACAAATGGATTTAACAGCCAAGCTTGATCTGATGATAATAAAAGCATAGTTTTCATTCATTTTTTGTTCATGATTCCTAATGCTTTATCTATGGTAAACCTTATTGTAAATAAAAATTGCTTTAAAAAAAACACTTGTTTTGATAATTTGTTACTTAAAGGAGTAGTTTACTTTAAAAAAAAATTTTTTGCTGATAATTTAATTTAACTCACCCCCATGTCATCCAAGATGTCCATGTCTTTCTTTCTTCAGTCGAAAAGAAATTAAGGTTTTTGATTAAAACATTCCAGGATTTTTCTCCATATAATGGACTTCAATGGGAACCAAACGGTTCAAGGTCCAAAAGAGAGTTTCAGTGCAGCTTCAAAGGGCTTTAAACGATTCCAGACGATGAATACGGGTCTTATCAAGTGAAACGATCGCTCATTTAAAAAATAAATTACAAAGTACAAATGCTCGCCTTGCTGTTCTCCTGTTCGAACTTGTTCATCAAAATGAACGAATCTTTTTTCGATTCATTTGGTTCATTCAATGAACGAAATGACTCGAAAAAAGATTTGTTAATTTTACACTTTTTACAAGCCCTTTGAAGCTGCACTGAAACTGTCTTTTGGACCTTGAACCGTTTGGTTCCCATTGAAGTCCATTATATGGAGAAAATCCTCAAATGTTTTCATCAAAAACATTCATTTCTTTTCAATTGAAGAAACAAAGACATGGACATCTAGGATGACATGGGGGTGCGTAAATTATCAGCAAAAGTTTTTTTTTTTAAAGTGAACTACTCCTTTAATGCAAATACGCGTTTGCCATTTTAAGTGTGGCTAAAGTGTACAAATACTTGAACAGTCATCGTAAACCTTCTGACTTTGTAAATGGTTGCAGAGAAAAACTGGACATCACACACTGTGACTAATAAACTTTAAAGAAGTTCTGAACACAACAAACTTGCACATTAAAATGCCTCATTGATAGCAGTTGTATGACGCATAATAAAACAATTTTTTATCTAAAATCAGGTCAAAATATATCAAACATACCTGACTGCATTGAATCATAGCCTGAAGCAAAAGAAACTCTGACTTTCAGCAACTAGTGGACTGCAATGTTGGACGAAACTGGTCAAATGCTGAGTTGTGTGTATTCCAGCCTTTACAAGCGTCTTAAACTGACTAACACGGTTGATTTTCTCACAGGGCTGACGGTGGAGCAGACAAGTGTAGGTAAGAATCAAGACCACATCAGTACCAGACATCCTTCTGTGTGTGTGTGGTAGATATAGTGATGTTGATCTACATATCTCTGCAAACCTCAGTGCGACAGCTGTTTTGTTTGAGGTGAGATATCTCAGAGCCCCGCTGTACTTTTGTGAAGTTGAGCCCTGAATACAGTTGCAAGCTACGGAATGTCATTGTTTGCCTTTTTTATTGGACAAACAGCTCCGATCACAATGCCAGGGAACAAACAGACTGCCGTGCTCAAACCGGGCTGTCTGGGGCTTCAGCCGTTTCGCTTTCCCTTGATTTCACTATTTGACCGGCGAATAAGAAATATATATCGAAGGCCAGACATCTGACCTGTAGTTGTGGGATAACAGATAATCCATAATTGTCCAGGAACAGAAGGTAAGTGAAGGCCAAACACAGATTAGGTCTTGTAATGTTCTTGTTGGGCCGATGGTGTGTTTTGTGCGTCTATGCTTGAAAAGTGCTCTCTGTAAATCACAGTTTCCAAACAAAGTTGAGACACTTCGTGACACTGTATGCTTTCATGTATCTCTCTGTGGCTGAATATAAAGATGCATTAAGTACTTCAATTTTTTTTTTGAAGAACATGCCTGAGGTATAAAGTAGTCTTTGAAACTTCTAGTAGCTCTAAAGGCCCTTTCACAGCTAACAGGGAGCATTATTAGAATGTTTTAAAAAGGTTTGATCAAAGTTATGAACAAACGAGTGTTCGGTCAGAGTCATCAGGTCTTTAAAAATGTTCTCAAAGCGTTAGTAGTAAAATAAAGTGTGTGTGCTTGTTTTTTAAGGCGAGACACGGCAGACAAAAAAAATTATTATTTTTTTTTTTCAACTGGTCAATTTTGAGATTTTGGGATATTTGTCAGCGCCATCTTTGATTTTTAATGAGAATGAAAGCGAGGCTGTGAGGGATAGTCATGCATCTCTTCAATGGGCTATACTGTTATTTAATGTGTTTTCGGATTGTTCTTCTCATGAAACACTGGAAAAAATATCTTTCCAAGAAATTTCAGTTGACAAAAAACTCCCGATCTGTAAGCTGTGGAAAATTGTAAGTAATCTAGCCGCTTTATTCAGCTTTTTACAGCGGATGCCATTGGAAACACGGTAAGTCTATCCCTCACAGCCTCACTTTCATACCTGTCATGGCGCTGCTCTGAATAAGGCCTATAACATGTCTTCTTTCAGACTTGTGGTGAAAAAAAAGTCTGAAATACACATTTAGGTCTTTATTTTACTACACTTTGTCTGTTTGCGTCTGTAGATTTCTCATAAATCCTTCAAAAGTTGTCGTTATAAATCATCGCGATCTGCACCCTGTCATAACACACAGCGTTAGAAAGCTCTCTCTCTCTCCTGTTCAACGCTTTCGGATCCAAATAGGGTCATTTACTTTTTATCAGCAACCAATCGTGAAAGTAAAAGGAGGGATTTAACTCTAAATGCACGATTTCATTGGCTGATGCTAAATCTTTAAAGCCAGTTTTCTCAAAATGACTTTTCTCTCATACTCCAAATCCAAAATCTCCACTTCCGTAGCACCTTTATACACCAAACTTGTACCTAGTAATATTATGAAGACATTTATAGAGGGATTTGTAAATATATTATTCCTTATATAACATTTTATTCCAAAAACATGGCAAAAATCATTTTTGTAAGGCAATCGGCAGTATATTCTGATTTACAGTGTAACAAAAGTAGATATCCATAAATCCCTCTGTAATTATTTTCTCATTTAATATGTGAACACAATGAAAAAAGAATTTTGAACCTGGCTTTATCTGATACTCAGATTTAGTTATTAAATTAGTGCATATCTAATTAGATAATGCCTCATTTGCATATTTAAACATTTAATTACAGAAAACTTGTAATATACATTTTTTTTCTCTTTTTTTCATGTTTCGTGGTGATATCTGCTAGTTTAAAAAATCACCCTTTTCACCTGTAGTGTCTCGCCTTAAGTTGGAATGTTTCGGAATGTTCAAAGATCATTCCAAAAGAACATTCCCATAGTGTTTGCAAAATTCTAAAATGGAATGTTCCTTTAACGTTCGCTTAACCAAAACACATTTTTAAAACGTCTTCTGAAATAACATTTTCATAACCTAATGTGAGCGAAATGTTCTTAGAATGTATATTTGTTAGTTGGGAAGACTGTGATGCATCAAGTGAGATACAATGCAGATATACGTCAAAAATACGTCAAATCTTCTGTCCTGATGTGTTGCTGTGTTTTGACTGGTCAAGACTGTTGTCTGACCACCACCACATGCCAGTTTAACCAGTGGCAAGAGGCACAGCCCATCTCTTTTGTTTCATGTCATTGGCCGCCCGTGGATTTAGAGAAGCCTATACAACCTACCACAATGGGAGCTGTGTAAAAGTGTGGCTTTAATGCATTGTCTCGTGTCAATACAAGATTTAACTGAGCCTGTGACTCTCTGCAAAGGACGGCGCTCTTGTGTCTCGCATTGTTTTTTAAATAGTGCTGACCTCCGCATTTTGGGCTTCTTTTTGTACATATAGGGCCCTATTTTGCACACAGCGCAATTGACTTGTATCATTCTAACACAGTCTCATCTCAAAAAGTCATATAAGTGACGTCTTGGGGCGTATTTTGACCATACGTCAATATCCGCCTTTTTAGGCCCCCCTTAAACGTCAGTAGATGGCGCTCCCGGGCCGTCATACAACTGACGCTTTACCTTTAACGTCAGTTAGGTGACGGGTTAGGTTTAGGGTTAGGTTTAGGTATGGGGTAGAGTTAGGATCCCATAACCTCATCTACTGACGTTTAAGGGGGCCCTAAAAAGGTGAATATTGACGTATGGTCAAAAGACGTCCCAAAACGTCAGTTATATGACGTCTTGGGATGAGACCGGGTTGATCATTCGTATTTTGCACCCGTGCAAAGCAGACTCTTCCCTCCACCGGTATTTTATTTTTTTTGTCCATGGGGAATTGATTGGATGGTTGTGGTTTGCTTTGATTAAAAATCATGAGGCACATGAATTAAAATAAATTACAAATAATGATGTGCATGGATACATTATTTATAATACTGCAATATTACATAAAAAACTGTCAATTTTGATTTCATGGTGACTGTTTAGATGATTCACTTTTTGCAAATGATACGTTATTATAAGGAAAGATATTAAAACACGAGGGAAATCTTTGTTGTGTCAATGATGATGGGGGAAAAATAGGCATAAAGCTTACACATTTACCCAAATTATTATATACACGTTTAACCGAAGATTATTTGGGGCCCATCCCCAATGTCACATCTCTTTCTTTTACAGCCGCCTTGGCTTACACGCATGTGAAAATGAAATGCCTTTTTTTCGTCTGATGAACAATAACGTTTTTGAATTGTAACGCAAGTGTGCACGTTATCCACGCTGCATCATCATAACAACTGACAAAAATGGTAGCCTAAATGTTTAACGACGTAAAAAGTGGATTGGATTCGTTGGAACCGTCTAGTCTAGTCTAGTCGAACTGAAAAGAACTATATGATTCAGAATTTTTGGTGGTGTTTTCATGGAGATATCAGCCGAAACCCATCGGTAGCGCTTCAACCATATTCAGCACGAATTAAATGGCTATTAGATGTCCCTCTAGTGGACCGAACGTGTAACAACAACCACATGCTATAGTGGCATTGGCGATCCATAAGCATGTGTAATGTCGTAAATATTAATAATAGGATAAATGTATCATTTAATATTCAAATATTGTTCGAATATTAAATAAAATAAGGAATGTAATTCGAATAGTATTATAGAGGAAGATTGACAGCCCTATTCTCAATATGTGTTCTCGCATTACGTCATCGTTCAATTCCAATACTCAAGAACGCAAGTACAGAGGAAGCATGAAAGTACCTGGATGTGTTCTTGATATTGAGGATGAATCCAATGCAAACTTGAGAGAATCAAACCGTTGGTGGACGAAGTACGGAAGCCTGTTGGCTTTGTGCCTGTTTTTATCCTCTAAGGACTTTGGGAGAAACACCTAGGTTGTTGGTACTTAAAGAAGTATAATTGAGACTGTGGAAAGAACTTGATTGTGTTTGTGTGGAATGAATTTGTCTGTTGAAGTCAGCTTCAGCAAAGCAGCTTCTGACCTGCATGACCAAATCTTCAAAACACAAATTAAGTGCATACAACCAGAAGTTTCATGCTTCAAAACATACAAAAATGCAGAGTAAAAAGAATCCATATGATTGGTTTGATCCAAGTCTTCTGAAGAGACAGAATAGCAGGAGGTTGAGTTAAAGATGACAGAACAAACATTTGTTGGATGAACTATCGCTTTAAAAGAACAAACCCTGCGTTGTGTTTCTTTTATCTGATAAAGTGCTGATTTGGATGAAGAAAGACATATCTGTTTTACAGCACCGTGGCCTCACCTCACTCCCATTAGACGTGTGAGAGCTGAGCGTTCAGGAGCAGATAATGATCTTCAGAGAGACTTCAAACATGCGGACATCTTGGGATTTACTGTGGAAGAGCTTCCGCTTCTTGTGTTTTTCTTGTGGTGTTTTTGAATTCCTCTTTTGAATGAACGATTCAATGACAAAAGGTTTTGTGACAAATAAAAAGTCACTTGTCGCCACCTACTGGTGTAATAATGTAATTGATACGATCTTTATTTAAAGTGTATACGTAAGTAAGTGCAGACGCGTATAGCATGCCAGGCGCGAATGATTTCAATGTTAAGTCAATGCAAAGACGCGTTACGCACGTAAAAATTCGGGTAGACACGAATACGCCTCATTTGCGCGTCAAGTTCGTGCGAATTGAGCGCCTGGCGCATTAAGGCCGTTACACGTGTTACATGCGAATGATTTAGTTAGTGCTATTTGTGCATTCACGCGTTTGACGCGAATTCGCATCTGTTAAAAAGTTAAAAAATCTGAAGTTTGGTGTCAATTCGCGCCGCGTTAACCAATCAGGAGCCTA